ATGTTCTTGAAGCATGGAAATAATAATTTTTTAAAATATAGGATAACTAGATCCAGAACAGTGCAAAATTATTTCCTAGGTCTGAATGTTCTAAGTCACTGATTCTCAGGGTGGCACCTGGTCTTCAGTGTCAACAGGAATTGTTAGCAAAGCAGACTGTGGAGCTTCTGAATCAGAAATTGAAGAAATGAGGATACAGCATTAGAATTAATAAGCGTTAGATGCTTTTGATGCCTTGTAAGTTTAAGAATTGCTGTTCCAAGTGATTGATTACATTCTGCTATTCAAAGTGTGGTTTGGATTCTGTTCTGGTATGTGAGAAGAAAATGCAACTCAGGCTCCCATTGAAGAGCTGTTAATTGCTTTGATTGGTCACATTAGTGCAGAGATCTAACACATAGTTACAGAGGATTGGATATTCTGTGTGTACCTGGAAGAAGGCTAAGTGGCAGCCTAAAAGTTACTTTCCATTTGAGAATGAGAATAGGGTTAACTTCTAAGGACTTTTTCAACATGATGATAATTTGCTTTAAAGTATCTACTAGTTCTTTAATCTACAATCACAAATATAGAAAGTAGTATTAGAAAGTAGTATTCATTATAAACTGAATATACCCTACGTTGATGTTTAGAGATTTGTAGGGAAAAAAAGATCTGTCAGTATTATTAGAATCTATTGAATTCTATAGAACTAAGCTTTGTTTTCCAGGATTTAGCATTTGATTTTAATTTCAGTTCCTTCCTTCCTTCTTCCCTCAAAAAGAGAACACTTCATTTACAAAAAACCCCCAGTGTATTGAAGTATGTATCTTGTACTCCACAGTATGTAGAAGAAACTCCTTTTAGGTACACTGCTATGTTATGTGGTAATTATTATGTGTACCCATTTACTCATTCATAGCTGACTAAATGAAACAGGATGTTTTCCTTACAAAAGAACTATTGCATTACCTAATCCTTTCTTGTGTAAAAATTCATATATTTGGTTGAATTTTTAAATAAGTCTTTGCTTTGTGCTCATCTTTATATCAGCGTGAGAATGGAATTTATCTTTCTAGAGTAATTTATCACATCACCTTTTTTTATTAAATATAAAACTTTGAAACAAAATATAGTTAACCATGATTCAGTATTTCTTCATCATGACTTTTCTGTATTGGACAATTCAAAACATGGACATTGGAGGGAAAATATTTGGTTTATCAGGAAAAAATGAAAATCTGAGATTAGATACAGAAAGAAAAGGAAGTGTTTTCTTAAGAAACATAGATATTGGTCAGTACATACGGGAATAAGACTCAAATCATCTGAAGATGACCATTTCATAATACTGTGATATATTTAATCTTTAATGTCCATCATGAAATAGATTAACTCTCACTTATATTTTGTGATTACTTCATAGGCCTCTCAGTGAGGAAACAGTTTAAATATCAACATTTTTCTGTTTTTATGCTGATATTCTTCACTGTGGAAGGTAGTACATGCTCTACAAATGGGAAAGATTTTATTAAGTATCTGTAACAGTACAGCAAATGCTTCCCAAGTAGCTTCCCAATGCCATTTTCAGATGCTGCATTTTGTTTCTGTGAACTGTCACGTGCTTAATTCCAGTGGTGTGATGTTTAAAGTCTCTTGAACATGTGATTATGCATGTGATGAAGTACTTTCAAATCTATGTGGAATAGTCATCATAGAAGTCTTATTAATTCTCATTAATGCTCTCCACATAAAGATAATGAATAGTTTACTCCTGCTGTTAAGGTTATTGTAAGTTTTCCATAATGGTTTCAGAGTTTAACTCAGTATAGAGTTTATCTCTATCCTTGATTGTCAGTGATTGCCTTCAGACATTACCCAGGTATTCTGCAGGTTACTTTTTCCTCTCAAGAATTTGTCTCAAGAGGTGGCATTGTCCTCATTTAAAGATGAAGAAACTAATGGTGAACGTTGGTTAGCATAGTGGGAGAAATGTAGGAGGCAGTTAAATCACGGTACACTGGACTTCACGCTATGTGGGCTTTTATCCAGCCAGGCTCCACCATTAAAGCTGTGTCCCTGAGGAAGTTTCTTAACACTCAGAAGTCTCCATTTCCTAATATATTGAAAGAAACAAGAGTGCCAATCTCTTAAGACCATTATGGATATTAAATAAGATATAGAAAAGTGTTGGGCATACAGTGTGATAGTTATCCTGTGTTGTTACTAAATAATTTAAAGTCACTCTGATGTTAGGGAGTAGCTCTGTGACAGTCTCCTGTTACCTCCGTACTTTTCCATTGCTTTCTAATTAATACATCCATATCTACATGAAAGTGAATAGTATTTATATACCTTATAGTCCATTTTAAGAACAGGGAATTAGTGTTTATGAGAACAGCAACTAGAGAAAAATCTTGATTGAAGGCCAAAAATTATAGTTTAGGTGGGGCGAACTGGGAATAAAACAAGTTTTGTAAAGCATCACAGTAGTATTTTTTAGATAACATTGGGAAATGACCACCCTTCCTGAACTCATCTTTGCACAATATTTACTTAAATCCTTTCCTGATGACTAACATAAAAATAGAAGCCTCCAGTGATGATTCCCAAAGTGCACGTAAGCAGCGGTCATGCATGTTAAATATTGCCCTTCCAGCATTTTTAGTTATAAAAGTCCTAGAAAATAAAATAAATTGTTCCGTTATTTTTTCTAGCATCTAAGTTCCTATAATACTTCATTAAATCCCATTCTGGCACAGTATTTTTGAATGTTGTTTTCTGTTTCTTTATCTTCAGAGCTTATAGACCCTACTTAAAGGCAGGGTCTACCTAATGTCTAATTACATTGTCTAACACCTTTAATGCAAGCCTGAAAAGAAATTATAAATTACTCTGAGATGGTCTTTCTCTTATTCAGCTTCTTGTGGCTAAGAAGTGTTCCCTTGTTGTTGATTCTAATTGAAACTGATATCAATTCCACTGATTAAAATTTGATTTTAAGATCCCTAATGGTTATTAAGGCGGTTGTAGTTTGAGTGTGATAATTAGCCCATTTTTAGGTTTAGTTTGTATATTTTATAATGTAAGAGTCTTGGGTTGGTTTTGTTTTCTTATCGTAAGTCAGTACAAATGGTGCTTTACACTTAAATTGTGCTTTATATTTAAGCATTCGGAAAGATTTGCAAAGTGTCTTTCACTTTGGCATCATGAGGTTTTATTGCATTGCAAATTCAGCTATTAAAAAGCAGCAAGAACCTAAGAGTAAGGTAATTCTCCACCTTTCAGTGAGAAAAGTTTTAACTTTTCTTTGGTCTTTATAAACCAGTAGATAAATTTGCCTCACTCTTTCTTGCCCCAAGGAAGTCTGTTCTCTGGCCTTTTGGAATTGTTACCTTCAGAGGCCAAACTTCTGGTCTCTTCTTTCAGAGAGATAGCTTCCAACTTCTGCAAAGTCAAGAACTTGGCATGATTCTGATATGACACATCACTGGTGGTTTACCAGAAAATATGCTGCAAACATGAAAAATGTTTATGTGATATGTTCCTTAAACTGAGAGACAGTCTGTTTATTAGTACATCTTGCTTTTTTGCTGAGCCAGATTATTCTTATGAAATGAAAAGTGACAGATTAAAGATCAGAAAAATTGAATCGATTAAAAATGGAATATATATTATATATATATATGTATTTATTTAAAAGAGTATACTTTGTAAGGACACAGTTATTAAGCTCCAGAAGCACTGCTAGTAATAAGAGCTACCATTTATTTGAACTATTGATCTGCTGTATGTTAGGAATTCCAAATATATTCATATTACCCTGCACAACAGGATGGATTTTATTTTTAGTTACCAGTCCATACAGAGAATGTTATGAAATAGGCTCAAAAACGTACCCATTTAGCCCACTTAGTAAACAGAAAAGCTAGGCTTTATACCCATGTCTGTCAGATATATCACCAGATAGCATTAATCACGTGGTTTCTTTCTTTCTTTTTCTTTTTCTTTCTCTTTTGTTTTGTTTTTGAGGTACTGGGAATCCAACCCAGCCATGCTCTGCCATTTAGCAACATCCTCAGCACTTAGCATTTTTTTCAGACAGAGTCTCCTAGAGTTACCCAGGTTGGTCTCAGACTTTCCATCCTCCTGCCTTACCATCCAGAGTAGCTCGGGTTACACGCTTGCAGCACATGCTTTTCATTGAGATATCTTGAAGTGTTTAATAAAATGCTAAAGTAAATGGAGCTGTCATTATTACTTCTGTTTAGGTGTGCTGCCTCCCATTTTAAACACACACGTGCACATGTGAGTATGTGCGCACACGCACTGTACACACAGGGAGAAGAGATGGGAAACAGCGGTGCGGCATGCCGCCTCCAACAGTGGGCACCACCGCTTCATACTTCCTTTCGTGTGTGCCTGCATGTGCAGCTAAAAGCTGAACGTAAAATGTCAATAACATTTTATATAAGTAAGTCTTTTTTTGGGAACAACTTCAAACAGAACAAAACATAGATGAGTAAATGGAAAACCATACACATTGGGTAGGACCATTCAACATAGAATTGATTTATAATTTTATCACAAACATAAAACTTTACTTTTTTTTTTAACCCAAAAGTTAAGTGGATTCTAAATTTCTTAGAAATACATTGATATGCCATATGGTTGTTGTTTCTCCTTTCCACCACTAGTTCCTTGATATTTAGATGTTAAAATCATTGTTGTAGGTTACGTTCAACATCACATGATTCTTTTAAACTTCTAAATTACATGGTAAAATTCATACGGTGAAATCATGAAAAATTTTATTTAACAGCGTGTCAACTGACAACTTGATTATGTGCTTCAGTTTTGTTATTAGTGGCAAAGGCTTATTTATATAGTCATTGTAGTTTCAGTAGACACCAGTGTATCAGATTATTCTCTGTATTTGGTGCTCAGTGATTTTCTGTTACAGCCCTTTAATATTGCTTATTTTAAAATCTACCTACCATGTCTTTGTTTTCTTTCTATAGTTGCATTAAAATCTTCCCCCACTGATAGAAACGGGGGCCAGGATGACTGTGGAGCACCGTTCAGAAGTCGTTTGAACTTGCAAGAAGGAGAATTTTTATTACAGGTAAATTTTAGTAAAACAGTTTCTTAAAGTAAGGAAATACTTGGGCCAGGAATTTAGCTCGCCTGCATAAGCACCTGCCTGGCAAGTGTGAGGTTGTGAGTTCAATCCCTGGTGCAAAGAAGAAAAAAAAGGAAATTTTAGTTAATATAGTTTCTTAAAATAAGAACAGTTTGTAAATGTAAGATTAATCAGTTGATTTTTTAATAATTCCCAGTGTAGTTCTTATCCAGTGTTTTGTGCCATTTTCACATGAACTAGAACAGTGATATACACTATTGTATGATAAATGAAATTATGTGAAATGGATTCATTAGAGGTTACGTCATCACCCCGCATGTTATTGTTTTGTCTTTTTGAGACAGGGTCTCACTGTGCAGTTCAGGCTGGCCTTGAGCTCACTTTGTAGCCCAGGCTGGTCTTGAACTCACAGCTGTCCTCCTGCCTCAGCCTCCCAAGTGCTGGGATTATAGGCACTGCATGTTGTATTTAAGACATTATGTTTATGTATGTTTTTTTGGAATGTAGCTCAATTAAAATATGGGTGCATTTATTTAATATTTTAAATTTTTTATCAACTTTTTCAGTAGTCTTATAACTTACATTTCTTTTTAGCAACTATATTAATTCATGTACTATAGATTTTCTCAACAACTTCAATTCTACATTGTATGTTTAGATCTTAGAGAGTTTTGTCTGTGAAAGCATCTTAAATCTTTTAAAGTTTGTTTTATTTCTTTTAGAATAATACTGTGCTTCATTCTCACTCTGCATTTTCTAATATTTATTTTGTTGAAATGAGATAAAACAAGATGTGTGTTTCAACATGCACTCTCATTCCATGCTAACTTCAAGTTTCATCCATTGAACCAAATGGAAGACCTTAGTTTGCAATGTGACAGAAAGTTGCTACAAGTTTTAGTAGCTCCGGTAGTCCATTGATTAGTGGTAGAATATAGTCTAATAATTTATAACATTCTTCTTACAATTTTCTAATTGTGTCCAAGTTTCTGTACTTTTCAAAATTTAAAATGCTTTCATTCTGCTAAATAACTTGAATATAGCTAAGCATGATTTCTCTCCCACTCCCAGGTAGGGTCTTTCTGTATATTTAGCTAAAACATAAAGGTTTCTAATTGAGTTCATAGGAAAGCATTCTAATAATTGCTGCTTAATGTGACTAGACACATTTTGGGCTGTGTATTAAGCTAATAATGAGATCCTTTATTCAAATGAAAATATGGATTGATTGGCCCAGCAGTTCTTAAGTTGGTTTGTTGTGATCAAATGATATTTTTCTAAAATGTTTAGACAGGCATATCATTTGCCAAGGTCACAGAATAGTGCGAATGCAAAGCTAGAATTATATACATTTTTTAATTATCTGGAAATTGAAGAACCTTGCATGGTTAAAGTGAACCCTCATGTTAAAAATTATATTGAGACCACTTTTAGACTTCTTCAGTAGGAAATAATGCATATTCTCATTTGCTAAGGACCATGTTTCTTTGTGAAGAATCTACTCATCAGCTTTTTCATTGCTGAGACAGAAACCAGACATGCACAGGTTATAGGAGGAGAGGTGTAATTTGGCTGACTGTTTCTAGTGTTTAGTCTGTGGTCAGCTCCCCCCAAATTATGCTCATCCATGTGGAAGACATGGCAGAGGAAAGCTACTCATATCAGGGGATTCCAAAAACTGGGGGTGAAGGAAGAAGTCAGAAAGGAACAGCACCTCCCATTCCAGGTCGGTGCCCCAGGGGCTTGCTTCTGCTATGTCTCCCTTCTAACAGCACATGCAGTACTGAGTAATCAGTGATGAATCCACCCAGGAGTGCAGCACCCCCATGATCCAGTCACCTTCCTAACACATGAGACTTTGGAGGGAAATTTTAAATCTAAACCATAACACTTTGCTTCTGGTCCCCAAAAGGCTTATATTCATCTCATGTACTATTCATTTAGTCCATCTTTAAGAATTTTCAAGCTTATAAGTTCTATCTTTGCTTAAAAGACCAAGTCCAAAATGTCTCCTGAGACTCAAAGTAAACTCTTAGGTATGAGCACCTGTAAAAATAAAAAAGAAAGTTGAATACAATACACAATGGCATTGGGTAAACATTTCCATCCCCAAAGGAAGGAATTGGGGATAAAAAGGAAGTGGACCAAAGCAATACTGGAAACCACTGGGGAAAATGTTAAATCCTGTAGCTCCATGTCCAACAGCCAGGGCAGCTTTGCATGAGCTGTGGTTTATTTCTCATATACAGTATTAAATAGTAAGGAACCTCAACATGGTTTTCAGAGAGTAGTAATTTGTGACTAAAACCAAAAGAATGCTATCTTTATGTAGTTATCATATTCTTTCTGTTAATTTGCTAAGAAAATCATTCAGTATAGTAATGATATTGCTTTTATATGTATTTATGATAATTTGAGCTATATGAAAAAATATTACGCATCTATTCTTTTTTATAAGTTTCTGACAACATTGGCCTAAAAGGATTTGATACGATGACCTGAATTACCCTTTTGTTTTCCAGTGTATTGGTGAGGTTTTTAGATGTATTACATTTGTTTTCCTATTTGGAAAAGTTCTCTAAAATAATATGATAAATTATTAGTACTCTCTAGAAAAATTACTTTTAGGATGAAACAGTACAGTGTTGGGCATACACTGTTATTGCCCACAAAATTTAAAAATATCAAATTTGAGTTGTGTTTATCACTGAATGTTCAACTTCCCAATATGTGGAATTTTTACCCTGAGAATATTGACAGGTATTATTGTATTATTTCTGCAAACAAAGATCTAATAATATATCAGTTGTAGTTAATGAGAGCCAGGCAAAGTTTGCAATTAAAAAAAGTATTTGCAAGGCATCAGTTCATGATGGTTAAATACAAGGCTTCTGAGCCAGACCAAGTTAACCTCACGGCACAGCTTTCTTCTGCCTATGTGACTGGTACAGTTGTTTCCCTCAGTTTCTTCATCTGTAAAACTGAAATATGGTACCCAATATGAGTTTTGTAGAGGATTAGAAAACTTTAGTACATAAAACCTTTTAGAAGAAAATTGCTACATAATAGATACAATCTTTATAATGAAGTTATCAAAAGCATATCATGGAGCAGTGGTGGTGAAGGTGAGAGAATCAGAGTGAGAAGAGTTACTGTTACTTTCCTTAACGTGTCTCATAATGAGAGTATCCACCCAACTCTGAGCAACATAAGCCCAGGGGCAACAGCTTGTTAGCTCAACTCTTGAATATGGGCTTGAATATGTCCTCTTCGGTAAGTGTTGCATGAGCTAATTATTATTAATATATCCTTTTATAATTCTAAGACATGATCATGAAAACCAATCTTTATTCATTCCCATAATCATAGACTATCATACCTTATAGTAATTGAGTGCCAACCATATGCCAGGTACCAAGTTAGATACATCATTATATCCATCCAATAAAGTTCCAGTTTTTGAAATGGTGACTCTAAAGCTTGAAAGGGTGAATCACTTCAGCCACCATGCTAGTAAGGGACAGAAACAGGAGTCCAGCCCAGATGTGACTGCACACCTTGTGGTTCTCACACTAAACTGTACCATTTCTTCACTTCTAGGGAGAAAGAGCCTCTGAAGGGTTAAGCCATGCTCACATAGCAAAGAATGACATCCTGTACCAAAGTGAACTTAAGCAGGAAACAGAATTTTATTTTAGAATTAAAATATGTAACTATAAACACTTAAAGTGATCTAAAATATTTTTGTTATCCAAGGAGAGAACAGAAGTATTAATTAAAATTGAACTAGCCTAGCCAACTAGAAAAATGGCAGAATGGGGCATAACTTCCAAACTAAAGGAAATAATATGAAATAAAGGTAAACTGCATCGGACAGACATCGGACAGAGAAGCCTACTACAGACAGACAAATGGCAGTAGCACATACAAAATGGTTGTCTCAAATATAAATATATATTTGTGATTTTATTAGTCTTAACTGATTTATTTGCTCTATAATTTTATATATGTATTATGTTTGAATTCTATGTGTTTTATGTGTATTATTTTCCAGTAAAGGATAAACTATAATTGTTTGAGAGATCCAAATTACAGATTGCATCAGTGCTTGAAGTCTTTGTAGAAAAACATATTTTCTTCCATCTAAATTTTTCTCTAATTAGCATCTTTACCTGCTATATTTCTCTTAAAAAGCAGTATGATAGGTTATAGTGATGATTTTTATAGTTTATACTTAAAAATATCTATAATATATTTAAAAGTCAAACTCTGGAGTATTAGATAAAAGAAGAATCAATTTTATATTAAATTTTCTGTGTTTGAGCTTTAAATTTAGCTGTTTTTTCTGTCTAGAAAATAGGAATAAATTTCTTCTGAAGCCAGAGAGGTGTGGCATGTCTGTTTATGAAGTATAATAATTTTAAACATTTTGAAAGGAAGAGTTTTCAGAGATAAAAACTGTTCTTTTTAATCTTGACAGTTGGTGGTTGTAAAAATTTTAATTTCTGTTGCTAATATAATTTTTTATCCTTGTAGGCTCTGAATGGCTTTGTATTGGCTGTCACTACAGATGCTTTGGTCTTTTATGTGTCTTCAACTATACAAGATTACCTGGGCTTTCAGCAAGTAAATATATTTTTCATGTAGCATTTAAAATAGTTTTGGAAAAGGAACTGTCTACTTATGCTCTTACGGTTTAGGGGCAGAATTGACTTTATATTTGAAATACAAGGTAAAAATACATATATCCTGAAAGAATAAAAAATCGTTCCTTTGCAGCTAATATGCTTTTCCTAATACTCATAATTTGTAGCACTATGGTTTCATTAAATGTGTCTATGAGTCATGATTTTTTTTTATTTGTTGATAATTTCATGTAAGAAACTTCCAAGTGGATGGCTAGGTATGGTGGTGCACACCTATAATCCAGCTCTGAGGAGGCAGAGGCAGGAGGATTGCCATGAGTTTGAGGCCACCCAGAGCGACATAGTGAGTTCAAGGCCAGCCTGAACTACAGAGCAAGATCCTGTCTCAAAACAAAAAAAAAAGGAAAGAAAAAAAGAAACTTTCAGGTGACCTATGGAAAATAAAGGAAATAGATTAAAGCTGGCCTGAAGAATGCATAGTGCTCAAATGGATGAATATGGGCCCATAAGAGGAGGATAAACATTCTGATAGGAATAGGCAGGAAGACTTTGCAGGGAACAAATGTTTGCCTTATTAGGCAGCATTGAATGAATGGTGAATAAATGAAATTATATTTTGCATATTTTATGGACACAGATATATGTTAGAATTTGAGATCTGATTCTAAGTACAGTACACTTGAATACTTGCTATTTTTATATATCTATTTCTCATGTAATGCACATTCCGAATCACCTGAAACACTTGATGAAGTCTCTGAGCTCCATGCCCAAATACTTTGACTCATTAGGTCAGAGCATAGCTGGGAATTTGCATACCTAATGGTTTCCTAAGGTTTCTGGTCTGAATAGTAGTGTCGGTATGACACTGTGATACAGATTCAAGTTGCCAGTCTCCATAACACTATATGGAACTTAAATGGACTAGTTTTGACTATATTTTATGCATAACAAAGGGAATGTATATCTTTCAGATTATGTTTGAAATTGTAATTTTGGCAGTTTAATAGGTATCATAGAGATAATTTAATGCTAAAAGATGACCTAAGAATTGATTACAAAAGTAATGGAATCTGGCTATTCCTACAAAGTCTAAATTTTAGATTTCTTTGAATTTAAAGGAAATATAGAAAAGCCTATTTGAAACAGTGAATTATGTAACTGTATTGACACTGATTTGCTATTATAACTTATATCAGTTAAGGAAATCTAAGAAATTATCCATGTTCAAGTTTATTTTTCTCTCATGCATACACATGGGCTAGATATTCTTTAAGCAGACATTCATTTCTGACATGGCAGCACATTAAGGCACCATTTTCAAAACTGCATTTGTGACTCACTAGTGGGTAATAATGCAGTTGACATAGTGGATCACCATCAAACTTTCTTTTTAGTTGCTTAGGATGGAATGAAATAAAATAATATAGAATGCACAATATCATCACACACAAAGGTAAGTATCTCATGAAATTTTTTTCTAAGTGTGCATGTGTGTGTGCATGCACATGTGAGAGAATGAGAGAATACGTGTTTTGTGTCACACTGAGAGGCGTGAGGAGAGAGGGCATTCTAATACGGTAAAGGGATGATCCCTTACTCCTATGGAGTCTGCCTGCAGTCATGGTTCATACAAAGAACACTATTTAGGCACAGTAGAGAAAGTGCAAGGTGGATACTGCTAAGGGTAGAGAAGTCAAAGAGTACGGAGAGTTCCTGGAGAGACTGATGAAAGAGATAAGACTTACAGCTCAATAAGCGGATAAAAAGCGTAAGCAGATCTTACGGTGGCACACTTAGTGAATGAGCGAACGTGGAGGGCACCTGTTGAGCAACTGCGTTCATGTGGTAGTGACAGTACGTAAGCTTTGGGCTTATCAGTTTCACTGCTAGTTTCTTTTTCTAGCTTTTCCTATTTTGGATGCCAAGGGAGCTTTGCCGGTCATTCCCTTTACATTCATCACCACTAACAGGCACCCACTGACCTAGATAGGTCCTGAAGTTACTTTAGTAAGCGTGTAGTTCTTTAATCAGTGCTCTCATTTTATTTCCTTGTTTCATTTTTCTTTAGTCTGATGTCATACATCAGAGTGTGTATGAACTTATCCACACTGAAGATCGAGCTGAATTTCAGCGTCAGCTCCATTGGGCATTCAACCCTTCACAGTGTTCAGACTCTGGACAAGCAATTCCTGGTAAGAATGTTTAACGAAACATAGCATTGGTGATTTTTGAACATGCTTCTATAAAAGAAAGTGAGGAACCTTTAGAGATTAGAACTCTTACTGAAGGTGGATAAATAGCAAGAAGTATTACTATTAGTATTAATATTAGTATTAGTATATGCTAGAGCCAGGTCACAAGATCTGATGATCTAAGGACTATTTGGTAAACAACAGCAATTGAGGAATTAAACACAAACGATGTTGTCATACTTGGTAATATATTTTATAAAATAACTTATTACCATCATGAAAGATATGTAGAATATATAAAATAGAAACAGGAGTGCTTATAAATTAGTTTGATTAAAATGTTTCAAATAAAAAGTAAACTAGCATAAGCAAGTATGAAAAGTATTTCTTAATGCAAGCAACATTTTCAATAATATATGGAAAGTGTTAAAACAACAAAAAATAGGGAAATTGTTGAGAGTTATAGCTCAATTAAATAAGAACAAAGATTAAGTCCTGTGTGATAAAATTTGTCCAGTAAATTTTTTATTTTTTAAGTCATTTTAAAAACTATTTCTTAATTCAGAATACAGACTCCAGTTTTTAAATTAACATAATTTTAAATTTAATTTTACAGCAAAACGGAGTTCTAGTTTGTGTTGCTTTTGTTTGCAGAACCTCATGGCCTCCCACAGCCAGGAGTCTCTTACACCACAGAGCGGCTTCCTCCAGAAAACTCCCCTTTAATGGAGAGGTGCTTCGTATGCCGACTAAGGTGTTTGCTGGATAATTCATCTGGCTTCCTGGTAAGGTTCAGAGTCTCACAACACTGGTTGATACTGCTAAGGCATACAAGCAAAAAAGAACAGTTAATGGAAGCCAGTTTTCTCTGGTTAAATTTGATTTCAGTTTTTAAAACATACTGAGTAATTTGATAAGGTGATTTTTAAAAATTGTTACTTTAGGGTTTAATATTTTCCATAACTTAGAAAACTCTTTCCTTTAGGATGCAATAGAACTGGTTGAAGTAATTTGGAGCATTCTATCAAAAATAGATACAAATAAACCACGTATTTTTAGGGCTTTTTTGAAAGCAATGGTAGAGAAGTATCTAGTCCTTCTATAACAGGAGGATGTTTACCATCTTGGGGTTTAATGCCTGCTAGATAGGAAAATTATGTCCTTTTCCACAAGTTCGGAATAATGCTGTATAAAAGGCTGATTGTGTATTCATGGTGTGGAATCCTCAGCTGAGATGAGAGGATGTTTCCTGATGCGTAGTCTGAAGGCCTGCAGTGGGTAACTGCAGGGAGCGGCTGAGGCAGGATTCCCAGAGTGGACTTGTTCTGTTCCACTAATTGTATCCTTAATAGCTCACTGCACAAAGTATATTAGAAGAGGATACAGAGCATGTAGACTACTTTTGTACATTATAGAGAATTTGAAGCAAAATATCAAATCTTAAATTAAGCATTTCCAAGCAGAACTTTTAATTCTTGTTTATTTCTGAGATAGTTCTGCTGACCCAGATAGAGTTGTGATTTGAGATACTTTTCCTAGTAGAAGTGCTCAGAATCAGTTAACATTTATTTCTGCGGTAAAATTTCTAGGGCAAGAGGATATTGTGTACCTTTTGCTTCTGACAGACTGATGTCAGAATCATTCCTTTAGGCTACTTGATACAGTTTCAGGCAACTAAACTGATCATGTTAAATTGTCTTCTGTCATCCGAATTATTCTTTATCTTTGATACAGCTCTGTGTTCTTCATGTGATTTCATAATGACTCATTTTACTATTTTTAATAAAATTATATTTTGTTCCTGTAGGAAAGATAACCATGGTATGGAATGCAGTGCGTGCATGTTTGAAAATTAAGGTTTATCCATATTCATTCATTCATTCATTCATTCATTCATTCATTCATTCACTCATGGAATACATCCAGGTGTATCCAGGCGTGGTGTGCAAGGAGTGTGGTGGATAAAAATGTAGGATAACTGCAAGCACAGAAAATAGTCCAAGCACTCCTGTTACCAATTGCTTTAGAATATTTCACATTTTACTTTTGGGAGTGAGTTTAATTTTGCGTCCTTTGCAGAGAGAGGGTTAAAAGAAGTAGCATTTTTCAATCTTAGACACTTCCATGCAGTATGAAGTGTCCTGGAAATAGTCAGGGTGAAAATTTTTTAAAATAGAAGTCATTTGTATTCTTCGTTTTAATGAACACTTTTGTTTCTAAGGCAATGAATTTCCAAGGAAGGTTAAAGTATCTTCACGGTCAGAACAAGAAAGGGAAGGACGGGTCAGTCCTTCCTCCGCAGCTGGCTTTGTTTGCCATCGCCACTCCACTGCAGTCCCCATCCATACTTGAACTTCGAACCAAAAATTTCCTTTTTAGAACCAAACACAAACTGGATTTTACTCCTATTGGTTGTGATGCCAAGTAAGTGAAATTTGTTAACATTTATTGCGTCAAATGTGTATTTTATTCTGTACAATGTGTAGTGTAAGTTCTAATATTCATTATATTGGCTGTTATAGCATGTTTAATTTCATCAGATGCACAAATCATCACATTATTTTGAAATTTATTAGAATACTTGCAAAGTTTATTCTAGTAATGACATTAATTTATCTTACTTTGTATAATTCTTATTAACATTACCATTGTTATTATGAATTTTAACCCTAGAAATGTAGAAACTTTCTAAAATTTACATAGAAGAGTGAAACTGAGCATTCATATATCATATTGTAGCGTATCTGTCTTTTCTCCTTATTTAACAGGAAAATACAAATAGAGTATATACATTCTAGACTTTCACTACAGATTTTGTTGACTCTTAGAACTTATTCATTTTTAGCTATACTAATTTCCATGCTTTGTTCAGAAAAAAAAAGCTAAAAATTTAGCCATAAGCAAAAAAGAGCAATTTACATACATGGGTTTTTCTACCTACTCATGTGAAATTCTGAATGTCAAATTGCAGAAACTAGCATAAACCAGTGAATTTATCTTATAACAGGTTTTTTTAATTCATTCTTATTTAATTTTTTTAAAACAGAGGGCAGATTGTTTTAGGGTACACTGAAGCAGAACTGTGCGCCAAAGGGTCGGGGTATCAGTTCATTCATGCTGGGGATATGCTTCATTGTGCTGAGTACCATATGCGAAGTAAGTTTTAACTCCATATCCTAATACTGCATCTGACAAATGGCATATATCTGGTGTAGGTTTCAAATTATTACATACGTATAGTGTTTAAGGAAACTATTTAGATAAACTTTTACTTTATGTCATGCTATCTTGAATATTCAGAGTGACCTTACTTTGTAAAAATTAATTTTATTGGTACATTTTAGATTTACATAATGATCAGATTTATCATGGGAATTTGACCTGTATATGATATATCTTGATTCTTCTTTTATTCCCATTCCCCTCCCCTCCCTTCAACCTCTCTTCCCTCTTCCCTATTTACAAAAGCTTTGTTTCCATTTTTTCTATTTCTTTTCCCTTCCTTCCTTTTCCCCTTGTCCTTCCCTTGTCCCCTTTTCCATTTGAACATTTTCTTCTATTTTACAATATCTACTACATGTTTTAATCCTTACTTTACCCTTTTGATTTCCCACATCAGAGAAACAGTGTGGTATTTAAACATGTATATTCAAGTGTATGGTCTCACCGTGCATCCATTTACCTGGAAATGTCTTTATGGCTGAGTAATACTCCATTGTATTAAAAAAAAAAAAGCACGTCTCCTTTCTCCATTTCATAGTTAATAGTCATTTGGACTCTTTCTAAGATTTAGCTCTTATAAACTATACTGCTATAAATGTGAGTGTACACATATCACTGTGGTATGATGCTTTTAATTTTTTAAAAGGCTACCAAGAAGGTGAATAATTGGGTAGAATGCATTTTTAGCTTTATTTTTCTGAGTAATCTGCATACTGATATCTACAGTGGTTGCAGCGGTTTACACTCCTTCCAACAGTGAAGAAGGGGTCCTTTTCCTCCACAACCCTGCCAGCATTTGTTATTGGTTGTTTTCTTGGTAAGAGCATTCTTTCTGGAGTGAGATGGAATCTCAGCGTTGTTTTGATTTGCATTTCTTGAATGACCAGTGACTTTGAACATTTTTTTTCATATATTTTTTATTTCGATTTATTCATCTAAAAAGTGTTCATTTCAGATGTCCATTTTTAGATTGGGTCTTTAAATTTAGGGAGTCTGATTTTTTTAAAAGTCTTTATATACCCTAGAAGTTAGTCCTTTGTCTGAGGAACAGCTGGCAAAGTTTTTCCCTACTGTGAGTCATCTTTTCACTATGATGATTGCTCCTATTGCTATACAAAAACCTTTTAATAAGGTGAGATCCCAGTTGTTGATTCTTTATAATATTTCCTTTGCAGTCTGGATTTTGTTCATAAAGTCTTTGCCTGTGTCTTTAAGAGTTGTGTGTATCCTGTCTTCCTGTAGATTTAGTGTTTCTGTTTTAATACTTAGATCTTTGTTCTAATTCAGTTTAGTTTAGTGTTTGGTGAGAGATAAAGATCTAATTTTAATCTTTGGCATGTGGAAAGCCAGTTTTTCTTGCACTATTTATTTAAAGAGGCTGTTTCTTCCAGTGAAGATGTTCAACTCCTTTTTTCAAAGCTAGCGTGGCTGAGTGTGTTTGGAGTTGTTTCTCCATCTTTTAATCTCCTTTACTAATCCTCAGGTCTGGTGTTGTGCTTTGTTTTGTTTTGTTTTTTGCCAGTACTATGCTGTTTCATTACAGTAGCTTTGCTGCTACACAGGAACGTAATAGTTTAATTACTATGAAAATGACCATTTGGGTCCAAAAAGTATTGCTTAAGAATTCTTGAATAGTATCATTGATTCATAAATTAGGTGAATTTTAAAATTTTAAAGCATTGCAAATGGGTGGGAACACATTCCCTATTTAAAAGTAAAGCAATTTTTAAAAAATTTTTCCTCCCAACTGAGTTAATAGTGTCTGTATATTGCATCTATTAACCCAGATCCTCTCACTGGTATCTAATCTTCCCTTTAAACATTGTAAGCATTCAGTCCAAAATGGAAAAAACAAAAACCAAAATCAAAACTCTGAAGAATTGTTTCCATGCCATCAAAAGTTGTTAAGATACTTATCATAATTGGTGGGAGATAAATATAATACATTTGTCAGAAGTTCAGAGAATTTTCAAATATATGGATTCTAAGTTTGATAACTTAATTTTTTATTTTAGTGATTAAGACTGGAGAAAGTGGCATGACAGTTTTCAGGCTTCTTACAAAACACAACCGGTGGATCTGGATGCAGTCTAATGCACGTGTAGTTTATAAAAATGGAAGACCGGATTATATCATTGCAACTCAACGAGCTCTAACGTAAGCAGGAAGACTGGGAATGTGTCCTGTTTATTTCTTTGATAACAGTTTGGTTTATAAGTCTCCTTATATAAAAACCTCATACCAAGGCAACTGAAAATTGAAAAGTAAAATATATATAGAAATAAGAGGTATAGATAAGAGATACTGTAAAGACAGAATGCACAATCTTTATTGAGGAGTTAACATGTACAGCTACAGAAAGAGGATAATGAGAAGTCTAAAATTTTAATCCTGAATTTATGAAGAAAAATGAAAAGTTATCACCATCTATAAAACAAAAGTGATAGATCTATGGAGGGGGGAGAGGAGGAAGGACTGGCCGGCGGTGGCTGAAAAGATAAGAAGTATAATATATAAGTAACCTTTATTTTGGGAATGCGGGGAGAGACACCCCCGACCCCCCGGGGCATGGCATCTCCACCCGGGGGGCCGGTGATCTCTCCCCGGAACACATGGAGTGAGGCACATAAGTAGCCTCGGCCTGGGGTGGAACCCAAGGGGCATTAGGGATGTACAGGTAGACCATTGGTCTTAGTTTGGCGCCAGAGGTAATTTCCAGGGGTGGGGGGAGATAGGAGCTCCCTGGCTTTACCCGCTACAGTATCCGGCCTGGGCCAGCAACCCTTTGAAAAAGAAAATATAATAATGCTTTGTTTAGTATCTGCTTTCTAAACACAGTAGTGATTAATAAGATTTTCTTAGGTATTCTGGGAATGAGTTCTTTGTGAAATATTTGCAGTTTCCGCCACTCTGGAAAATTGCTGTCTGTATATGACTTCTAAGATAAGGCTCAAGATTGAGTTTTTATTCTTTTATATATAGCAGATTGACCAGTAACATTTATTAAAAAGACAGTTTATTGCACTGGCCTTGAATAAAAGGATTTTGACTGTGGTTCTACTTCTAGACATTCTTAGTCGGATTCCATTGGTCTAGTTGTCTAGTTTTGTGCCATCTATATGGCCTTAATTACTGTATGTTTATACTAAGTTTTGATATTTGAGTACATTCTTCATTTAGTTTGTTTGCTTTTTGTTGTCCTCCTTCAAAAGCACCTCAGCTCTTTTTTACCCTTTATATGTCCATATACATTTTAGAAATCAGTTGTTCCCAACAAAATATCTGTTGGAATTTTGAGTGGTATTATATTGAAACTTTAGATCATTTGAGGGAGAATTAACATCTTTACAGTATTGAGTCTTCTAACGCATGCATGTGATGAATGTAAATATATACCCATATAAGTACATGAGTGTATATGTATCTGTGTGTGTAGATACTTAGTTATGTATGAACACTTACAAATTCAAACTCTCTCCCCTCATCAGTATTGCAAGACCATCAGTTTATTAATGTCTTTGAAGATACAGCTTTTGGATTACTGATTCTTGTTGTACATATTTTCCATTTAATTTATTTTTTCTTTATTAATTTTTTCTTTTATTTAGAAATAACTTGCTATCTTTTCCAGTTTTTTTATCAATATATATTTGCAAATACATATCAGTTTTCCTTTGTATTACTTTATTTACAGCCCTTATTTTGGTATCTTATTTTTATCTTTCAATTGCAAATATTTTTTCTAATTTTAATTATTCTTTTTTATTCACAAGTTATTTAGAAATACAGTGTTATTCAATTTTTTGCTGTCAGCGGATTTTTCTATTTGTTTTGTAATTGACTTTTAGCTTAATGCCATTGTAGTCAAAGAACATTCTTTGAACGAATTTTAGTACTTTGAAAGGATTTCATATTCCTTTGAAATATATGATAGTTTATTTTGTGATCTAGTATATGCTCCATACTGAGAAATTATTACATATATTCCTATAGAAGATACTTGTTCTCTTGTTAGCATGGTCTTTTTTGAATATCAGTGTCAGTGCCCTAGTTTATTCATTGTGTTCATATCTTTAGATACTTTTGTATGTGTGTTCAATGAGGTACTAAGAACAGTTGCAGTGTTCATTTTCTGATTACTGATTAAACAGGTTACTTTTTTTATATCCTTTTAAAACATTTTTTTTTTCTGAATTTCCAGTTAATATCGTTTGGTTTTCTTACCTGGTTGTCTACCTTTTGCCTCTTTTGTAGGCTCATTGAAGCCGTTGCCTGTGATGCAAAATTTGGCATTTACATATTAAAAAAAATAGAGGCTAGGATATACCTCAGTGGCATAAGCACCTGTCTGGCATTTTTGCATGTTCATACTAAAGTATAAATATATAAAATTTTCTCCATGCTTTAACTTGATTTATGAATTATTTTGTAAATATGTGGAAAGTTTTCATTTTCATAATGCCAGTTGTCCCGTATTTTCTAGAACTTTGCTTTACTGTTTTATTTACACATCCCTCTTCTGATCAAAGTCATAAGTTCTTATAGATTGTTTTTTTTTTTTAATTTAGAAAGCATGAAAGTATTTTTCTGAAGATTGTCAGGATAGGAATGTATCCTAAGAATGGAATTTACTACCATATTAATTTTAACAAAAGTTACAAATCAGAATTCTAGATCATTAAATGTATTTGTCTATATTTTCTACCATGAGTCATGAGAATAATTTAGGCCAGAAATAAAGACTATGCTTCCTGCTGTTGGACTCAGTTACTATATATTTTATTTGCTATTTCTTTTTATTTAATATCTTATTTTAAAGTGTTTATAAAGCTCTTCCTAATATATGCAGACTTTTTTGTACAAAATTTTAGAGATGAAGAAGGAAGAGAGCATTTACGGAAGCGCGGTGTGAAATTGCCTTTTATGTTTACCACTGGAGAAGCTGTGTTGTATGAGACCAGCAAATCTTTCCCCCCTGGGATGGATTCCTTACCAACACAGACTAAAAGCGCAACTAATGGACAAGGTTCTGCTACCCTGTCAACTGAGAAGGGTTCTCCCCATCCCACTTCCCTGTTGGCTTCCATGATGCAGCAAGATGAGTCTATTTATCACTGCCCTGCTTCAAATACTGTACCTTTTGAAACAAATTTTTTTAATGATTTAATTGAATACAGTAATTGGCAAGATGGTATTGCACCAATGAGAAATGACAATATCTTCAAACATAAGCAAATTGGACAGACTCAAGAGATGAACCCAATGCTTTCTGGAGGTCACACAGTCCCCTTTTCAGATAATAAAAATAGTGAATTGTACAGCATTATGAAAAACCTAGGCATTGATTTTGAAGATATCAAGTGCATGCAGAACGAGGAATTTTTCAGAACTGATGCTTCCAGTGAGGTCGACTTCAGAGACATAGACGTAAGGGATGAAATACTAACATATGTCCAAGATTCTTTAAGTAAGTCCCCATTCCTGAGTTCAGAGTACCAGCAGCAACAGGCTGTTGCTCTGAATTCAAGCTGTATGGTACAAGAACAACTAGGGTTGGAACAGCAGCAGCAGCTGCAGCTCCATGGGAAGCCCATAGTGGTGGAGCCACAGCAACAACTGTGTCAGAAAATGAAACACATGCAAGTTAATGGCCTGCTTGGAAACTGGAGCGCTGGCTCATCTGTGCCTTTCAGTTGTCCTCCACAAGACCTACAACAGTATAATATGTTTCCAGATTTACACGGGGCGAATCCAGAGTTTCCCTACAAATCTGAGCTGGAGACTGTGCCTTACACACAGAACTTTGCTCCCTGTGAGCAGCCGTTATTACCCCAGCGTTCTAAGGGAACACAGTTGGAGTTTCCCATAGAGAATTTCGAACCATCCCTCTACCCTACAACTTCAAATTTAGAAGGTTTTGCCAGTTGTTTACAAGTTCCTGAAAACCAAAGGCATGGAATAAACCCACAGTCCTCTATAGTAACTCCCCAGACGTGTTATGCTGGGACCATGTCAGCATATCAGTGCCAACCAGAACCTCAGCACAGCCATGTGGATCAGATGCAGTACAATCCAGCAGTTCCGGGTCCACAGGTGTTTTTAAACAAGGTAAGAATTTTATAGAGCTGAATAAACGCTTTCAGTGGCTCTTTTTACCTCACTAATAAGTAAGTTATGAAATTTTTGACTCAGTGACTGATTTCGTTATCTGCAGTGATTATAGAATAGCATTGCCAGTTATATCACTGACTATTGTTTTATAAGCCTGTAGTTTTTTCAGTTTGTTATTGATTCATCTCCCTGGATCATAAAAGAGAAAAAAATCAAGACCCAAAGGAATGAAAATTTCCTTAATGTAAAATGCTCAAAATTAGTGGATGAAATTAGTTAATTGTGTGTTTAGAATAGTTTCACTTATCTTTCATGATTCTTTAAAAATTGTTATGACTTCTTAAAAATTCAAGCCTTACAAAAATTGAATTTTTTAAACTAATTTCTCCAAACTCAGCTTTTTCATTCGTATTTGAAATCAGACTCGGTCACAAGTAAGTGTGCTTTCTTAAAATAGCTTTGTCCTCAATCAGTGATGAGGAGCCTTTTGGAGACCAAGTGCTGTACTGCTACCCAAAATCTGGTTATTTATCACAACGTGCCAGCACTGCACTTAAATGTGAATTGTGAGGTTTTAGCTTAGAAAAAGCAACTCATGCATTAACATCTTTTGTCTTAAAAGAAAAAACACAATAACAAATGTGCCATAAGCCTGCCATTATTGTTCTGGATTATCCCTAGAATCTAGGCGGATTTTGTTCATTCATTTCTGAAGTTCTTAAAAAGTGACTTTGTATCATGGTAGTCAGGTTTAATATTTTCATTTAAGTATGTGAGCAGAACTTTTTATGAGCGAGTACTCTTTAAATATGTTACTGAAAAAAAAATAAGTTTAACACAGTGGTAATAGTTGGTAGGTATTGCCATCCAGAAATACATGATGTTTAACAAGCATCGCAGAAAATTCATGACAGCAAAGCAGCTTCATGAAAAATTCTTGAAAATATCTTAGTGACAGTGAAGCCAGCAGTGCATTTCTGTCTTTCCTTTAGAAAAATTTATTTCATTTTTAGTATATTTAAATTTAGTTTTGGTGAATATCTTGTCTAAGTTCATTGACCTCTTTCTACTGAGTATTTGAGTATAGTATAGTAATTTAAGAATGTGTCTTGAATCTTTATTGCTAATTACTCCAACTTATTTCAGACATTTGGTTTGATTATATATGAGCTTTTAATAGAAAGTAATGAGAAATGTTTTTCTCATTCTCATTCCTGACATCCTTAAAGTATATTAAAATTTAACATTTAGAATAAAGAAATGTGGTATATATCCAAAATGGGACACTGTTCAACCATAAAACAGGATGAAATCCTGCCCTCTGTGACAGCATGGATGAAGCTGTGGGACACTGTGCTAAATGAAACAAGTCAAGCACAGAAGCACAAGACACCACACAGTCTCAGTCTTATGTGGAAGTTAAAAATTCAGGTTTCATCGAAGTAGCGTTGAGTAGGATTACCAGAAGCTGGCACAGGAGGTTAGAAAGAGTCCATTACTGAGTACAAATAAATGGATGAGAGGCATAAGTTCTGGTGTCCTACAGCACTGAGGTGTCTTAATAACTCATTGTATACTTCAAAATAGAAGAAAGGGGGCTGGGGATTTAGCTCAGCGGCGTAAACGCCTGCCTTGCAAGCAGGCAGTCGTGAGTTTGATCCCCGGTACCGATAAAAAGGAAAAAGACTTAAAAAAAAAAAATAGAAGAAAGGACCTCATGTGTCATTAACACAAAGGAATGATGAATGCTAATTGTCCTAAATTATGTACATATATTGATATGTCACATTCATATAAGGTTCATATAAATACGAACAACTATTACATGTCAGCTAAAAATAACATTTTAAAAACTTGAATTGCAATATTGTTAGAGTGAATATAAAAAATAATAGTTCTATAGATCTACATATTCCCCCATGGAATAAGCTATATGTGGCTCTTGAACACTTGAACTATAACTAGTGCAAATCAAGATATGCTCTAGGTAAACTAGCACCAGATTTTAAAGATAGCTTGAAAAACCAGGGTCAAGTAATCTCATCTTTTTATTGATTTCATGTTGAAATAACTTTTACTTTACTAGGTTAAATGAAATATATTATTAAAGTCAATTTAATCTTTTTGACCGTGACTATTAGAAATGTTGCAGTTGAAAATGTCGCTCATGTATTTCAGTTGAGCACTGCTCTATACAGTGTAAAGAGAACAGCCAGCACCCACTGTGTTATGAGTGGTGAGCTCACCATTCTCTGGCCAGATGAGATTATTTCTTGTTTGGAGACCTGACAGAGTTGTGGTCACTAAGACACAGATGTGACTTATCGTACATCAGATGTATGTTTGGAGTATTTCATGTAATCACTCTTCTGATTGCTAAAGCCAGATGTTACCCATCCTTTAGCAAAATAGATTTTGTTTCAAGAAATTAATGGGGTGATTTTAATCGTTTAAAAGTTTCCGCAGTTTTGTTACATATTACAATATTAAGGCTGTGTAATTGGTAGAACTCTACAGAACTGGGTATCTCTTTTGTCCTCCCTCCCTTCTTCCCTCTTTCCTTCCTTTCCTTTTTATGTTTTTTTTTTTGGTAACAATTCCAAAAACCAGACTAGTTTCAGTGGAAGAGGCAAGAAAGAGCATTTGCTTTTGGTAATTTGCTTTTAGTGCTATTTGTTAATTAAAATCATATTACAAATAAGAATTGGTTAAGGAAGTCATACTCATGATGTAATGTTTTAGGAATACCAGTTTAAAAATTTCTAAAATTTTAGAAAATCTGAACTTGTCATTTTTGGAAGAGTCCTGGGTCATCTGTAATCCACTGTAATAATCTTGCTCATTAGTAGCAAGTAATTGGCTGACATGAAGCTGGGCATGACAAACCTTCTTATGCAGAGAATGTTTAATAGGACTCATGACTGCTTCTCTTTGACTTGTTGATACCTGTATGATCCAGAGACAATCTGAAGTGACTCATTTCTGTCACTCAGCTGTACCATCTTCAAAAATTTTTTGTCAAATTAATGGGCAAACTAAAAGGTGATACATGCAACCAATGCATAGTATGTTCTCAGTATGCCTTTATTGAAAAAATTTGCAATTCAACAGCAGTAAAGGAATTTGAAATATATTAACATGTGATTTAGTGGCTCTGACTTTGGAAAGTCTGTCCTAACCAGTTGCATTGCTGTTATTGTTTTCAGTTTCCGAATGGAGGAGTTTTAAATGACGTGTACCCTGCGGGATTAAATGACATAAATAACACTCAGGCTGCCACACATCTTCAGCCATTTCATCACCCAGTGGAAACCAGACCTTTCCCTGACTTGACACCCAGTGGATTCCTGTAATGGCAAACCCAGCTTTCACTTTAATTTTTGATTAGTTTGTGAAGAATCACAGAATTAAAAAAAACGTCAGTGTTGGTTGACAGCAAGTTCACACGGTGGCAGTGGTGCATGTTGTTTGCACTGTTGATTCCGAACCAGATTTTAACCTTGGCTTTTGTAAAATTCAACATTACACGGACTGACCTTGGTAAAGCAGAACATGTGCTGCCAGAGTACACATTTCACATCCTCTGGGTACCACAGGACATGCAAAACTTACTCAGGAGAACATTAAGACCTTTGAAATCAAGAGACTTTCACCATGTGAATTATTGCTGTCAGAATAAAAATGAAATACGTTAAATGTTGAACTTACAGATTCTCATCAGTGTATTAGTACAAAGGTAAAAGACTAACTTCTCTCCCTCTTTTTCATCTCTGCTTTTTCTCACCTATTAAATGGTTTCGTGTTTTTATGAAAAGATCCTCTCAATGCTTTCCTCCTGCACTGTTAATCTAAGTGCCTCACATTTTTTCCTACCTATAACACTGTAAGATGTATATTTTATATATAAAGTATTCATTTCCTTTTTTAAATTAATAGCATTCTGCACACAAATATTACTTGTATTTCCTAAATTCAGTCATTTTTATTCAGGCACATTTTTACTGCACTACTCACCAACTGTTCAGGTAAAGGACAAATATTAATAGGATAATTATTTATTATGTAATCTAGTTGCTTCTGTGCTTTAAATATTGCTACGTGCCTTATGTTGAAAAATTCCAAAATAAAACGTCTTTTAAATTATTTCTTAATTATTATACAGATATTAAGACAGTAGTACTTAAATTTCAACAATGTTTTCAAAAGTGATGTACCACTGTTTACCTTTACTAAAATCTTCACAATGGTAGTTGAATGTTGCCATGTGAAATCTTACATTAAATGCAACCAAAAGCAGCAGGTTTGTATCTAGCTTTTTAATTATAGCAGGCAAAGCACTCATTTCAGCCTGTACAAATATTCTTTAAAATGTCTTAGAGCATCGCTTCTCAGCCTTTGGGCTAAAATCAAATGTAAAATGTCTTAAAGTTATAACCCTTTATGATACATCATATTGACTATGAATTTCAATTTTTAAAACAGTAGAAACTTTGTTTTTAACACATTTGAGGAATTTTAAGGTTGAAGATAGTTCAGTGCAAAGTATTGTAAAGAATAAAAAGAATAGTGCATTGTACAGACATAATGAACAAAATGATTTGTAAAATACTGTGTCATTTAAGAGTAAGCCATACCTTATATATGCTAATAAATAACTTGAGCTTTTTGTATATTTTATCAGTGTACTTTAAGAAGTCAAATAGTGAATCATACTGCTTTTTAGTTGATATCAAGAAAAAGAAAACTTCGAATTGGTTTTCTAAAGTCAAATTAGCACCTTACCATCTTCACTGTCCTCAAACAATTTAAAGGAAAAAGTACCACTATCTGCTATTCTTTTCTTTAAATATAACATTTGAAGTACACATACACACTTTTGGTATATTCAAAAATATGATGGAATCTCAGAAAGTAGTACAAAAATACATTTATCTTTATTTCCTTTTAAAATAAATGCATAAACATGACCTTGGACAAAATATCTCAGTTCTGTGCATTTTCAGTCAAAATTTTAAATCTTTAGGATTAATTCAAGTGTTGAAAAAGGATTTGCCTAAAACATTTCATAATTTGTTTCAGAGTGAGTTATCACTAGGAATTTAAGCCAGTGGTTTAGATTAATATTCTATCTTTACATTTAATTTTTTCATTAAAAGTCTTCATATAAGACATTTTTGTTATTCCACATGTTATTGGATGGATTGTTCTGCTGAAAAACCAGGATTTTAAAATTGTGACTATGACGACAACCACTTACACAATTTTAAATTAAAATTTTTACAGCAATATTTTATATTTTACCTAACTAAAATTTATCTGAAATAATAATCACATTAAACTAAATATACCTTTGTCTGTATTACTAAGTGCCAAAGAAAGAATACAAACAGTACTGCTACGTTAAGGGATTTATGCATAGGCGGTGTGCACACCCAGAGATGTGCGTCTGATTTGACCTTTCCCTATGGTAGGTTTTTCTTGCAGTACCTGAAGATTTACCAGTATTTCTGTGTTGTAAAAAGCTTTAAATCATTACTATGCACACACTAGTGTTTTTCACTATTAATGTATTTTAGTTAAGTGTTTTTGTAGCTTTTCTCTTTCCTTGAAAATGTTACTGCTTATATATCCCATGCATAGAGTCTTTAAAGTGTGATTTATACATATTCTTATTAAACAAAATTGTATATAATAATACATATAGTAATAAAATAATGGCCACATGTGAGTAACCTGCTTATGTAAATTCTCCTTTCCGATGTATAGAAGGGAATGACCCCTTACAGGATAGTATTACAACCGTTAGATGAAGGCAGTCTGTGGTAATGAAGAATATAGTAATTCATAAACTTCTCCCCTCAGTGTTTCAGTCTCTACATGAATATTAAAAAAGATACTTTTAATAACTTCATAAATTATAATGTTTCTGAAATTAACTTCTAGAAAAAAAATTTTGTCCTTTTTAGGTGATTGTAGGGGTTGAGCCTAGGGTTTTTTGCCGTGAACTATCTTGCCATCTTCCCATCCCTGTGTGTGTGTGTGTGTGTGTGTGTGTGTGTGTGTGTGTTTATTTGGGGGGGGCGGTTTGATTCATTGTCCTGACTGGGTTTGAACTTGTGATCTTCCTGCCTCACCCTCACGGAGTGTGGGAGTATGGCTGTGCCACCATGCTGTGCTCAAATGGACTGCCTTTTCTTTTTAAAATCATGTTACCGTTTTATAAATGTGTTATTTCAGTATAAGCTAGACTTGCTTTCAGCAAGCAGAGTAGTTAAGGGGAAAAATAACTGATGAGGAAACTCAGGCTGCACATTTAGAGATGAGGAAGCAGGCGAAGGGGCGAAGGGGCCGCTGGTCGTGGTGGACACAGATCTACATCTGCGGCTGGTGAATAAGAACAGATCGTCTAACAGACGCTGTGTGAGTGCCTTTTTCTGCCTGCCATTCTACCCATGGCTTAATTCAGGCTATTTCAGTCCCATGAGGCAAATATAATTAATATACTCTTTAAAATGATGAAACTATTTTTAAAACAGAGTAATAGCCTGCCAAAGATGTATATACTCTAATGTCCAGAACCTATGAACCTGTTAATTTTGGGAGGCAAGAGAGATGTTACATTACGGATGTGGATTGATACAATAGTTTGGAATCTAAGTAACAGAAAGCTGCTGTGTTGAAGCCTTGTTGCCTGCAGGCAGCTCCGTGGGAAGTGGGGCTCCTTCAGGAGATGGGCCCTAGGAGAAGGAAGCCAGGCCGTGGAGAAGTGCCCTTGCCGGGGATATTGGGACCCCAGCTCCTGCCTTCTCTTTGCTTTCTAATTCCTTGAGGTGAGCAAACCTCCTCCGTCACACACTTCTGTTGTGAGGTACTGTGTCACAGCAGAGCCAAGCAACAGCTGCGTGCAACCTCTGAAACTGCTGTTCAGAACAAACCCTCTGCCTTCTTAAATTGATGGTCTCAGGAGTTTTGTTACAGTACAGGAAAGTTGACAACATAAAAAGTTACCCTGGATTATCTGAGAAGATCCAGCATAATCACAAGCGTCTTTTGTAAGAGGAAAGTAGGAGGGTCAGAGAAAGAGGTTAACAAAAGCAGGAAAGGGGGGTGTAAAGGTACTAAGGTGCTAATGTTGAGGGGTCCCAAGTCAAGGCCTTCTGGCAGTCTCTGAAAGCTAGAAAAGGGCACTGAAGCTGATTCTCTCCTGGTTTCAGAAGGAATAATGCCCTGACTAATATTTTGATTTTAGAACTAGCACTCCATATATCTGCACTGTTTTAACCCACTATATTTGAGGTAATTTATTACAGCAGGCATGGAAAACTAATACGGTGGTTATAGGGTTTTAAGAAAGTAAGGGAAGCATTAAGAACAATCCTACGGTGTTACAGAGCTTTTTATAAAAAATGAGAAGCCTTTCTGTGTACTTCTCGGCTATGAAAACGCCATTCTGCAGGGAGGAATCAGGAAGGTTCGGTAGTACCTTGGCCCGCTTCCACCTGTGGCATCGGGACCGCAAGGGACCCCTAGTGTGGTGAACCCGAATGCTGTCTAAAGGGCTCCAGCTTTGCCTTGGCACAGCAAAGAAGCGAAGAGGAGCACATTACAGCCTCGCCTGTCCAGGTGGTCATCTCGTGTCAGTCGCCCTGCTCACAGCCATGCATGTGGTTTTGAAGACGGCTCCTCAAGGTGTCCAGTGTTTTCAAATAAGCCTACAAACTTCCCTGATTCTTAGGAGAAAAATGGCTTCTCTGCAGTGGACCAGACATTACACAAATATTATTATTTATATGTCTTAAAGTATGTTTTCTGTGTTAATATTAACAAAACTATTTGGGGATATTGCAGTTATGCATCTGAGGAGCTTGTGGGTGGAAAAAAAAACAGTAAACTTTTAATCCAAGTAGAATATCGTCAGCCAATAGCACCTAAGACCATTCAGTGAGAATATATTACCAAAATTGTCAGAATGCGCTTTTGTTCTGAATACTATAGCATTTATTTGTTTAGTGCTTTATCTGTACAATTTCAAATCCTTTGCTAGAATCAGTTTTGAACACTAATATAAGGTGAGGTTTTAAGTAAAAAAAGAATACAAGAAGATTGTTCAGCACACACAGTGAGAAACTGGAAACCTCAGATATTGGACTCAAGTCATCTGGCATGGAAGTTCAGACTGTTTCACATAGAGCAATCTCCTTTCCCACAGAGGATATGTTCCGAGACTCCCACGGATGCTTGAAATTGTAATGTACTAAATCTTCCATGCTGTTTGCTTGTACATACATACCTATGAAAAAGTTGTAAATTAGATTAGGTAAGAAATTAATAATAGAATACAACAATTTTAGCAATGTGCTGTAATAAAGTTTATTTAAAGCTTAGGAAGTTTATTTCTGGAATTTTCCATTTAATATGGATAACTAAACCTAGAGAAACCTTGGATAAGAGTGCATTAAAATTATTTCAGGGTGGTCTGTGATGGGAATCGAGAATCAAATTCTTGGCCTCACTATATACATCAAGCGTTTACAATTTCCTTGAAGTGCTGATGTTAAACTGTGTCAGTCGTAGATAAAAACACAGGATCAGTGTTGATGGATCAATTGGTGAATTATGCCTACTTTTAAATCTGTTATCAGTTAAAATTGAAACTAAAATATAAAATAATGCTTTCTTCCTAATGTACTCCTTATATGTATCATAA